AAAAAATTAGCCAACTATCATCGTAAGAAAATAATCGATGATGTGATAGAAGAGGTGATGAGAAGATAAACAGCAAGATGACGTACAATAGGATCATGGAAGTACTCAAGAAGACCTCTTGCGCGAGTCCCTCTAACCTGATTATAGCCAGGTTCATTGGTGCCCACGATCTCAACATCGGAATCTTGCGACAAGTTGGCATCTTCAGGAACCTCATAGGCCTAAAGGAGATGATAGATGAAGGTAAGTTAAGTATACAAAGCAACCAATTATATATGAAAAATCTGTACTTACATCTGTCTTTGATCGCTTTGATGATCCAGCTGTTGAAGGCGTAACAGGAGATCTTGCTCGTTTACTAGTTGATGAACAAGTCTGGAAAAGAAATTGAATTGATAAGTTTGGGTTCATATTATATGAATCACAGATTAGAGAGACTAGAGGAACATGTACTCACTTTTCCTTTCACAGGGGGCTTGACTCTGTTTTGACTGGCGGATGTCGAACTGCTTTTCTTCTTAGTGAGAGCCGGGGGTCGGGGTGACACAGTTCGATGAGCAAGGGGTCCAGGTAGGCCGTCTTCGGAGTCTTCGGCACTTGATGATAATAACGATAAGGTAATGGCAGAACGCGAGTCGTTGGGTGGCACTACATAACCTGGCTGGATGCGAGATGGGCTAGGAGGTCAAAGGCTCCTAACCGAAGACCTACTAGTACCGGGTACCTGAAGGCTGGGTTGAGACAAGCTTTTGGATGGTGCCATGGTGTTAACGGAAAAGAAGTGGATCAGTATCACAGAAAGGCTAATTGAATAAGAGCAAAAGAGAGGATTCAATATAATAGAAAGGGTAGATATGAGATTTGAATAAGTCGATAAGAGTTTGATTGATATCGGAAATGGTCCAATGGATATCCTGAATGAATATGAAATCAGAAAACAATCAATATCAGGAAAAAGAAATAAAAAGATTGAAAGATTCCAAAGAGCTCAAATCCGGATGGAAACTCACCTAGGCTTTATTGGATGGTAAAAATCTTGCCAACCACAAGCCAGCCAATAGTAGAGCATCTGCCTGTGGTTGTCGAGGTTTCTGTCCACAGGTAATAGATCTAGTGGAGCGCCACAATCCATTGTAGGTGTGATTGTAGTTGATTGAGGTGGGATCGATGGTTGTTGAGATGGTGGAGGTGTGGCACAAACCCTGTACCCAGGGGTTAGATAATACAGATCTCCCGGCCCTGGGTACCGGGTATTCCTCCACTATATAGCGAGAATACCCCAGCCCCGGGTCATTGCGGTGTGATTGCTCCGCTACGTGATCTTGGTGCCTGGGACTGCGGTGCGTAGGTCCCGCTGTGTATAGGGATGCATTGAGCGGTGCGCAGAGCCGCACCGCTGTCGCACCGCTCCCGCTATATTGAGGGGAGCGGTTTCGGTATTGGTGAAGGTAGACGAAGACAGGGTGAAGACAAACGAAGAGTCGAAGACAAAGACAAACAAAGAGTCAAAGACGAAGACAAACAAAGAGCGACGAAGGTGAGTGAAGACAGTGAAGACGGAGACAAAGGTAGGGCGAAGACAGTGAAGACAGAGACAAAGTAGAGCGAAGAAGAGGTTCTGTACTGTAGGATGACAATCTGGACGTGAGACGGGGACTTGTCCAAATTTGGGCGAAGGTAAGTTAAAGAGGAAATCGCAGAAATGCGATTTATAAGAGGAAAAATGCGCTGATAGCAAATTCTCGGAATGTTCGAGAAAATCGCTTTTTATAAGCTTTTTCTGAATTTTAAAAGGGCTGTTTTTAAGAAAACAAACGCATTCTGTGAAATCGCATTTCTTGACATTCAAGAATGCAATTTCACACGAAAAAGAGCTTAAGTGAACGGGCTCTAAAGCTTTCTGTGAAGATTTTGATTTCTCCCGTTTCTCTTTTGTCTTCTTGTCATCATGGTCATCATTATACGAGTCCAGAAATGACTTCTTGAAAACCAAAAGCGGAACATAAGCTCTAAGTCTCCTGAAACCCTTGTCCCATTTGTGAGGCAAGTCTGGTAAATCAGTCAAATCAAAATCTAACAAATCAAAGCCAAGTTCCGCCTTCTTTGCTTTCTCTGATTCATCTGAACTAGAATCTTCTTCCAAGGATGATTTCTCAGACGCTGATTTTGATACATCTGATGGAGGGCTTTGAGACTTCTTCTTTTTCGACTTCCCTCTCTTCTTTCTCTTCTTCTTAGAAGCATCTGAGTCGCTCAAAGACGAGGATGAATTGTCATGTGGTATGTCTTTCTTCTTAGACTTCTTCTTCTTTGGTTTTCTTTTTGATCTCAAAGTCCCTGAGTCTCCGGAAGAGGATTCTGAATCTGAATCCCTCTTCCTTCCAGCCTCCTGTTTTACTTTGTTGATCTTACAGGGGCGATCATTGTCGCAATTTCCTTGATCAACCACGGTGTCAGCCTAAAGAGGTTCTTTGCTGCGCAAGAAACACTCTAACGTACTAACAGAAACACCAATACACTCATTACACTTGAAATATAAAAACTTATATATGTAAATACAAAATAAGACACCTCTCACACTCGAGTTTCAAGAGTGCAGTTTTTCCTATCTATTTGATAAAAGAAAAATTATTGTCATTAGATGTAACCAGGGACAATAATCAACATTAACCGGAATAGCCGTATCGAAGTCTACCCTGGACCAGCCCTGCTATACATCAGGGACTGGACCAAAGGATGTTCAGTAACCAACCCTCTGGACCCTTGATTAAAAATCCAAGATATTAGATTCTCTTCCCCTACTTGAAACAAATCTCATTACTTAAATAACTATCTCTACCCTCGAAAGGAAAGAAGAATCATCTCTTACCATTAACACCATTTTACTAAAAATATAAAAGTTTATCCCTTTCTTGTTAAGAAGATCAACTCCCCTTTTTCCCTTTCCACTATCTGTTTACAAGTCTGATTAAGTTAAGCCTTAAAGAATCCCTTGTAGCCTTCTTCATCACTCCTACAAGACTTCTGTTCAGATCTATTTCTATCTTCTATTTCTTTTATCTTTTCTATCCTTGCTATCTCAAATAGGACGTTAAAGATTGTTTGGTAATCACCATTCGACTAAAGTTCCTAAAACTCGGCTTGGAAATCTTTTGATAAAAGCTTGTGTTATCAAATCAACGCTAAAGCGTCACCCAGGATCCTTTTACATTCACTCGTAATCACCTAGGCAGATCTTCAAGTGAGTGCACTTTTGGATGAACTGGCAGTGGTTCTTCTACCACACCATAGGCAGCTATAAAAACCAACTAGCCAAATTTGGAGGCGGGCGCCGCAGTCATAATATGGATCTCACTGAAAGCAATACACATATGATTCTGGAGCCTATGCTTGTCCAAAGATCACTTGAGTAGGAACACTTTGGTAGCAGTTCTTTGGATGCAAGTGTAGCACACACCATGTAAATATACGCGTAACACGTTGATGTGCACACACGGAAATGTTTGAAACAATTCTCAAAGTCTCTTGGTCAGAATTAGACTGAGATTTTTGTTGAGCACCCTTTGTGCTTTGTGCTTTGTTTAAAGGATTTGCAGAATCCTTTGTTGTTGGCAGGGATCCACTGACCTTCAACCTCTCAGGTGATAAGGGGAAGAAGTGCTTATTGTGGCACCTCTTGGATGGGTTGTTACAGGGTCTAAGGAAATTCTTTTGTGTGTACACGTCGATGTGCGACACAGATATTTACATGGTGTGTAATCAACTAAAAGAATCAGAGCATTCTGAGGGAGGGCTTTTGGATGGTTGCTGCTGGCCGTAAGCAACATGAAAGAATGGGGCAGGGAAGGGTATGAATGGCATGCTGCTTGTGTTATCTAATTGTGGTGAGATTCAGGAATGGAAGTAATGAGGGTGACGTGGAGCAGAGGTGATGTCACATACCCTTGGCGCAGGGTGAAGATATTCTTGCCCTAAGCCTAACCCCTAACCCCTAACGGATTCAATATCAGAGTACCTCAAGTATCATTACGTCTCATTGACAGATACACATTTTTTGTTGTATTTGAATGTACAGTTATTTTTTAAGTCGACAGATATACAGTATTCTAAATGTTTTACAATAATTATGTCACAATTGTAAGCTTGTAGCTATTGTCTTTGATTTTCCTAATGCCTCACCACATACCATTACAATCAGTTTACCTGTCAGCCTTTAAATCACTATAGCCAAATTGGGTGGCAGGCGCCGCACTCACAAAAAGTTTATATCTTAGTTTAATTTGTATGGGATGCTGGAGGATATGCTGGATCATATATCACTCTAGCAGGAACGCTTCTCTAGGGGCAACTGGTTGCAGTACAACACATTAGACCCTATTTCATGATTTTGGTGTGACCAGTTTATGTATAATGAGCAAGACAATGCCAGCCTAAGTGTATTGTTCTTCCAAAATAAGTAGCTGTTTTGGTCACACCAGATCCATTGTTGAGGTGTAGTATACAGGAGTCACACAAGATACTCCAACTTCTATTCAACCTGGCTGCTGTTGCTTTTGATAGCAGACTTCTGTCAACATGAAGTATAGACACTGTGTTGTAGATTCCGCACCTATCAATACTTTGGTGCAAGCTAATTCAGATCTAAAATGAGACAGGGGCCATGATCTTTGGTTAACTCCAATATGTCTGGATTGTGCATACCATTCCTGTTCTGAGCTGTGAAAACAAAATGCTTCTGGTTGTTTGGCTTGTCCAGAGGAGAACCATGTAGCGCTATCAACACAGTATAACAAGAATTACTGCAACTTGGGTAAGTTGTATGGCAAACTTTGATGTTTTCAAATGTTGCCAATTGCAGTCATCAGATATCACAAACAAAAGATGCACTATTTACAATGTGAATAAATTGATCTGGGAAGGGTTGTTAAATTTTTCCTGGTTGTGGAGTGCAAAAGTAAAGGGAGTCAAGGTTCATGGTATGTTGAGACCATTCTGCTTCTGAGTGCTAATTGTGGTGGAATCAGCATTTCAAGGAATTATGGTAATTTTAGAATTAGGAATTATAGAGTATGGGGACAGAATGGTGCTCATATTGAGCTTGTAAGTATCTAAAGCATGCGATAATCTTAAAATACATGTAATCAAACACATAGATCGAGTTGAATAAATAGATGGGATCAATCTTATAGATGGAGTCAAATAAGTAGATGGAGTGGATCAATGTGAAGCTTATTCAGATAGAAACAAATGAGCTAAATGACCAAGTTGTTGGTGTTGGAGCATAGCATTAGTTCCTCAAAGTTGATGAGCTCACCAAGCTAGATTACTTGTTTGTTTGAATGGATCAGATTGGACCACTGACTTTTGATTTGAACATTGAATGATTTGTTGAAATGTAATGTTTTCTAGGTTTCATTCTGTTCAATGTCTTCATTGGCTTCTTTGAGATTTTGACTTATAAACAGATGGGGGACTAACCTAGTGTTAATAAGTGCAAAGAAAGAGGCGCCCAAAACGATATCCCTGGTTAGTCTATTATTGAAATTGTGACACTGGTGCTAATGTGACATGCAGAACAAGTGTTTCATGGTTCTATCTCAATATAATAGAATAGGACTGTCCAGCTCTACAAGTTCCTAAATGCAAGGAACAGATTTGTGTGGGTGGACAAAGGATTTGAGTACGTTGATAATTTTGGAAAAGATTCCAATAGTGACAATTGAAGCTCCGGCAGTTAAATTTCTAGGGAAAGGTTTCACAGTGCGGGAAAATTACTGATCTGGATTACAAAACAGTAATGTGTCAGATTTTATCATCAATGTATGGCAAGTAGATAAGTTGATCCAGGGATTAAGGACACTGTGGTTTGAGTTGCGATTGACGATCACCATAATCATGTGCAACACTGTATGCAGTCCAGATTTTGATAAATTGATTAGTGACTCAGATAGCAAATCCAATTGTGATTCGAATCCGGAGTCGAGTAATAATTTTGAAAGTGGTTCAAAAAGGATTTGCAATTTGGATAGGAAGGTAGATTGATTCTCAAGCATAGCATTGGATTATTGATTGATTGATTGATTGTCAAAAGCATAAGTGAGCTGATTGTCCAATTGATCGTCGAACAAAGCGTTGAAGGGATTGATTGATTGATTGCTAGATCAGTTGAATTGATATTTAGATCAATCGCGAAAAAGAGAATTGAAATGATGGTTTGAGTGAGTATATAGAACTTTCTGAAACCCATCTTTCTGAAGTGTTTAAACTACTAAGCCGAGTGTAGGAAATGCAGCAGAAGTAGGATCAGTGGAAGTCCATGTTTTTCATCCTGCAAAGAGTGTCCATATCAATCGCTTGGCGGGCAAAGCATAAGACGTGATACAAGAATTTTGAACTTCAAATGTAAACCTACTTCAAAAAAGCATTAGTTCTTCTTTGGTTTTTCGAAGAGGTTAAGGAGAACTTACCATGCTTCTTGTGGTTCTACATATATTTTTTCGCTGATTGTGTTGTCTCGGGATGGCTGCCTTCTCGTATCATCAAGCGTATATGTCAAAGAGTTTGTCCAAAGCCGAGTATGTTAGACAACGAAGAGGAGATGCACTCGTATTTTGGAAAAGTACATACAACTCTGAAACTCGAATAGAACAAATCTTTGAGCTGAAGGCATCGACAACCTTGGTTTCCGAAGACTGTTCAAGTTATCTACAGACAACGTTGGGTGAATATATAGGTGCTGATGATCGCCAACGAGCCATGACATTCTGAACCAAGATTGGTAAGTGATCGGATGCTTGCCGATTCGTAACATTTGGGAGCCAGGATAAGTGAGAATGAAACATTGGGCAGGATCGGTCGGTAATTTTTCAGACGGACAAAGAGGATGTCCAGATGATTGAAGGCTATTCGAACCCTGAATAGGGCCGGTATGATCTCCTGTAATCAAAGCTTCATGGCGAGAAATATCAGGAGAGCATACCAAAAGGGGTGTCGTCACCTGTGAGCATCACTGTCTTCTTCCGATTTGGCCGAGTTCCCCAAGCAGCGTCATCAGCTCTCCGAGTCCCCCACAATTGATCGTCTGCTTTGGGAAATGATGATGCAACATTCTTGCCATTGATCGCTGAGAAGGGCTGGAAACCTGTGAAGTAAAAAGGTTGTAAAGTAGGACCATTGGGTCTTATTGATGCAAGGTTAAATATCAGTACTGATCAGCATTTTGAAGTAAAGAGTGCACCGCAAGAATAACATTTTGTTGTCCATTATGAAAGGTATGTAGGGCCCTCTGTTGCAACGGGTTGTTGATATCGGCAAATACCTTTTGGCATTATCTCCCTTTACTTGTATGATTCTGTCATGATGCTAAACAAATAGCCGCCAAATAATGAGAAAGGCTTTGATTAGGCGGTGAACGTAGGTTGAGTATGACGAGTAAATGGATTCAAAGAGATAATCGACGAGGGATATAGTAGAAGGATGTTTGAAAGTATGAGTTATTGAAAGTGTTGTCATCATGCGAAATATGAGGCTTTACAGTCAGAAACATAAAACTGTCAAATTTTCAAGCGGGAGAGAGGTTTTGTCAGGTTTTGTTCAAATTGATAGTTCTCCGTTAATGTTTATGATTATAGACTTTTACTTACAAAGAACTGAAAATTAATTTCCCTCAGCTTTCAGGAATAACTCCTTAAGCTCGATAAAATACATTTTGTAAGTACGTGTAGTGTGATTCTAGAGTCTTTTTAACTCTTGCTTTTAGTCTCAAGCTGACACACGGGTCTAGAGCCTGATATTGCTGCCAACAACTGGCTAGACTCGTCTAGAGCTGTTCTAGGAGTTGGTTCGGGATTTGGTCCTGGTCAATCATAATCCATCGAAACCATTGCACCAAACTGGTCATTGAAACTATCTACCAGTCTCTGAGCTGTTGGACCATCTTTTGCATCTAGAGCATGCGTCAAGGCTTCTAGAATCGCCCTGCTTCCTGAGCCGGCGGAGCCTGGATCCTGATTGAATTGCCTGAAAGCTGCATCAAAAAACCGTCTATGTGAGTTTCTTCATTCTCAATCACATGAGCAAGATTTGTACTGAAGAATAAGTAAGACATTTCTCTATTAGATTCAACACCATCCTCTAATTTCCAAAGATAATCAAGATTCGGCCCTCTACACAAGTATTATGTTCGTGAAGGCTCATCATCTCGTCAAACTCGCGTATTATCTACGCCTGTCTTGCACTGCAACAACTGGTCTGACTGACTATTATCATCTTCTTAGGGCGCGTTTAGCAGCACCTTACTGCGCTCTTAGCTGCAATCATTGCCACACTGGAATTGCATCCACTAGTCCTTGTCTTACAAACGGCGCTTCAAGCAGCCCAGGATCATCAGACAGTGGTGTCTTACGGCGCTTAAGCAGCCTGCACATGACTAGGAGACTTGTGTCTTACGAGGCGCCACCGGCAGCCAAAACACCTTACACCAAAGGTTATACACCTCTATAATGGTCAAGGGAATTATACTAGTTGAAAAGAACAGAGAAACTGGAATAGAAATGGAAATGAGCTAGAATCAATCTGCAACACACCCTCTATCGGTACGCCTTCTACCAACTTCACAGGGCCTTTCCCCTTTTTGGAATCTTCTAATTGGTGTCTTTCTGCCTCTCGTCTTAACTCCATCTTTTCTAATTCCCGCCTCTTGACCTCATCAGGTTTAACGTCTGCCGTGTCTGATTCAGTATCTTCAGTAGCACCACCGTCTTCATCCCCATCTCCAACATCTTCATGTTCGACTTGAGGTCCTTGACCTTTGACCTGGTCATCTTGAAGACTTCCTTGATCCCTCGACTTCGGAATTCTGGAAAGTGCTCTCCTCTGATGTTCTTCTGCCTGTTCCTTCTCCTTTGCTATTTTAGCTAACTTCTTCTCTTCCTCTTGTTTAGACATTGACACCATTTCTTGACAATGATTCTTCTCCTCTAAAAGTTTTTCTTTGATATTTTTGTTCATCCAAAAAGATTTGTAAAATTAACTATCAAGAGATGTCTAAATAAAGGGGTATGAATGAGAAAGGATAAAATTAGATAGACCAGAAAAAAAAATCCTAATAAAATCTGTAAGAATTTATGAGGGAAAAGGAAGAGATAGGCGTCTAAGGGAGAGTAACTACTGAGGTGGACGTTTCCAAGCGTAAGAGCACCCGCGGAGACGCAGAAGTGAGAACAAAACACCACTACTACGTGGTTACGCTGTAGAACTCCTACGCAGTGTCGCGTAGGCTGAGCCGGAGAAGGTAAGAATCACCACTCGTGAGAGCGGATGAAACTATGGTTGCTGTTACGCTGCCTTCAACCTTAATTTTATTGCAGTTTGAGAAGAACTAGAGCAACTTTAAACAATTTTTATCCCTACAAATTCCTCCCGCAACACTTTCTTAAGATTTCCAAAGGATCCGCAAGGTTTGCTGGACTCCGATGATACCACACACAATGTTACACGACGTTGTGACACGGAGTTGTGTAAATTTCGAGTTCATACACTTTTTATGGCGATGTGTAATAAACTACACACAGGTCCGGTCTGTGTAGCCCGGGACCCGTTCGACCTGGCCTCGACTTGAATCAAGAGGCGGGTTCGGCGAAGTTGTGCTTGAAGCAGTCCTGATTCCGACAAGTCCGCGACTAGTTTACGACACAGCTCAGCAACAACAACTCAGAATCAGATAACAAACGAAAAAAAACAACAATATTCAAATACAATAGCTTCTCAACGAGGTAAGGCTTGCTTTCAACTTTCACTACTTGTTCTGAGGACCAGTAAACTAACAAAACTTGCTTCTCTTTCTTGTAACTTTTCTGTCTAGATTGCTTGATAACACCTTATAAACACGAACTCGATGACACTTTTAAGCTCAAGCTACACTTTTAAAGCACCCCCCCTCCTTTCTATGCGATTCGATACGATAACCTCCTTTTATACCTTTCAATCCCACTCACAACTCGACACATGGTCCCTTTTTTTTATACATTCTCTCCGATCGGTTATTCTCTCCGATCGGTTATCTTCTCCGATCGGATGTTCTCTAGGTACGTTAGTTCTTTTCCTTTTACGTCTTTTTGTTCTTTCTCATGCTGTCTTTCCCCGCTGATGATTGTTGTTTCCATCCCTAATTTAACCTATAGATCAATCTATTTCAAATCTTACATCTAATCGTTCGGACTATTCTCAATGTTCCTTGGTTCACTGTACCCTTTCTATTTTCGATTTTTTTTTTCTTTTCTTCCCAGGTATGTTCTCTTTACTCAAGTTCTTTAGCTTGGTTTACTTGTTTTGTTTTGTTTTGATACTGACTCCTTCTCTTTTCTTTTCTTCTTTGTTCTAGCTTCGATTTTTGCCTCTTGCTTCCTGGACTTGGTC